TTTTGTCTCAAGAGTCAAATTCTCTTACCTTTTCAACTACCGTACGTTCGTCTTCGTCTGAGTGCAGTTTTTGTCGCTCTCAGATCGAATATTTCCGACTATCTTTTTCGGAAATTCAACTTTCGGTATTGCCGTGAAAAACTTTTGTCTGAATTGCTGCATGCATGCGCTTGAATACAAACGAAACATGCTACATTTTCCCCTTTTTTCCAACGAAAACACTAGAAAAAAAACACAGAACACTGCGCAGGCACATGTACACAGCATCTGGGTGCTGAAAGCCGTATATGGCTGCGCTTGATGGAGCTGTCCATACACCTGAAAAAACGAGCGGCTTTCGTGGTTTCTGCACGGTGCACTGCTGAGGCTGCTTTTTTGCGGTTTTTTGAGCGGAAACTGCTGTTTAAAAAGCTGTATTACTCTCTTGTGTTTAATAATGTTGAATAATTTTGCATGATCACCGAAAAAATGGCAGCTTTCCATCATGAATATGGCGTCCGCGTGGTTGGCGATGCCGAAGAAGAAACCTTTGGTTTGAGGGTTTCATTGAACACAGAACATCATTTTGAATCTGATGGAAAGCTGAAATGGAATATTATTTCTGCTTCTGTTCAAAACGATGGCCCCCATTTCATCGAGTTTCTCTTTGCCGCTCTCATCACCAGCAGACGAAACGAAAGAAAAGTTTATTCTCTGCGTTCTTTNTCGAGTTTCTCTTTGCCGCTCTCATCACCAGCAGACGAAACGAAAGAAAAGTTTATTCTCTGCGTTCTTTCGGAAATATTCTCTGCTCTTTATGTTCTCGAAGAAGAAAGCGGTCTGTAGGTGGGCCCTGTTTGAGCCTTTGTTCCCATTTATTTTATTTTATTTTTTTTATCTTTTTTTTCTCTGGTGCTGATTGCAACAGCGGTGCGAGGAGTTGTTGAATGCCCCTGCAATTTCGTCCTCGTAAACGACATCGTTGTGAGCCGTCTGAGGCCTTGATGAAATACTATTTGAAATAGTTGAATCTACACGTGAAAAAAAAACAAAACAAAAACAAAAAGAGTTTATTTCTCTTTCTTGTTTCAGGCAAAGCAAAACAAGTCGCTGACGGCAAAGGTGCCGCTGCGGTAAGCTTAATTGTTCTGCATGCATTCAATGCATGCAGTGCATGCATATTGAATTGCTGCAGAGTGTTTACTGAGCTGAATTTCGCTGCGAAGCTCCCCGCGGGGGAGAGCAGCAGCAAAAGCAGCAGCAGCAGCAGCAGCAGCTGCTGCAGCAGCAGCAGCAGCAGCACGTCATCCTCTCCGCTGCAGGTGAGAGACAATTCTCTGTTCCCCTTGGCCTCTGAAATACAACTGAACAGAAAGAAGATGTATTTCTGCAGGGCCACGCTATTGAATGCCGGGTTAGTATTTGTTTCTATTTGAATCTTTTACAAAAAAAAAAAAAAAAAAAAAAAAAAAAA